CTAAAAATAAATTTCAAAATTCTCTCTTACTGAAAATCTGTAATTTTGAATTATATATTATTTGAATAAAGATAGAAAAATTTGCTTTAAAGGGATGTCAATACAGTTAATACCAGGAGCTTCCTTTTCTTTTCAAGTTTTTTATTTTTATTTTTTTAGGTAATTTTTACACCCAATGTGGGGCTCAAACTCATGACCCCGAGATCAAGAGTCGCATGCTCCAGGCAACTGAGTCGGCCAGGCATCACCAGGAGCTTCCTTTTCATCCAGAGGAATAGGAGTCTCCTTCCTCACGGGACCCAGAACCTGCGTTCTGAGGTCAGGTTGACAGCCCAGCGCTCTCCCTGAGCCTCCAATTACTCATCTGTACAACAGGGTGAGTTACAAGAACTGCTATGAGGAATCATCAGAAGCACTGAGTTGAGCACAATACTTGGTCCAAGAAAAGCCTTTAACAAGCATTGTCCACCATCAACACTGGTGATGCTGTGGCTGCTCAGGCAGGAAGCTGGTGAACTTTGTGCACAGCGCTGCACCAGGACGGGGCCCGCCTCGCCCAGGGCCCAGTGCAGCACCGGGACGGGGCCCGCCTCGCCCAGGGCACAGCGCAGCACCAGGGACGGAACCCACCTTGGCACTGTGTGCAGATACAGTGGTTGTGACATAGGGGGTCCTATTCTTCTGCAGCAGGTCGATATAGACCTCAGCCCCATCCCCTCCGTGGACACGCAGCAAGCTGAGCAGCTCATTGACGTCATGGTGAATCCGAAATTCACTCATAGTTTTGGCTCTGAAACAACATCACAACAGGTTTTCCTAAAGGTAAGAGGAAAGCCGTTTATAAAAACAAAAGTGTGCTAACAGCTGTAGTGAAGACGAGGCCCAAGTTAAATATCAAGCATCAAGCAGAGAAGACTCAGCACACACTCCCGCAATGCTAATTAACTAATGAATATTAATTTGCAAATCCACACTGAGAAAGTGAGGCCCTCATCTCCTAGTATATAAACATTTAAAACTGGCCAGAGCCAGGGTATCTCCAAACATAAAAGCAGAACAGTTAAGCATGAACACACATACTTGTAAAATCAGGAGGTGCTCACAGTAACCAGTCACGGACATGAGGTGCAGCAGGGCATGGGTTGTGGAGTCCCAGCCAGTCTGAACCCTGACATGGCCAGGTCTGGGCTATAGGGCCCTAGGCAAGGAGCCTGTCCTCTCTAGGCTTCTTCTGACAAGGGTGACTAGTAAATCGTACCCACAGAGCTGCTGTGAAAGCACCAAAGGGCCCATACTTGGTTAAGTCCTATGGTGTTGTTACTAGAGAAGCAAGAATAAGTGTGCTTTTACTACGTAGGGCTGACCAAGTGCAAATGTTGTTACTGGAGAACTGGCTGGTTTTACAAAAGGAAAACTGGATCTGAGTCACCAACAGCATCCTAAACCATCAGTTACCTTACCAATCACAGAGGACCCCAAACGAGGCACTGTAAACTACAAGCAAGACAGCAAAGAGGACACGGAACTTTCCCACTGAGGCCTCTCTGAATCCAAGGGCAATTGGTTTTATCCATGTGCTACAAGGTTTCCCAAGGAATGTGGGTTGTCCTATACTGGCTGGACTGAGGACCCTTTGTCATGCTAGATGGCAAGCACGTTGTTTCCCACCGAAAGGAAACAGCTGTCCACCAGATACAAGCAGGTGGAGAAAGCACTTCAGAAGAATGATCATCTGAGAGAACGTTTATTTTAAAACTATCTGCACAAAACCTTGTGTTTGTGGTAAAAATACAAGCACAGACATGCCCACGTCACAAATATTAATGTACAAGGAAGCCAGTTCTCTGTGGAGATCTGGAACGATTCCTGCAAGAACCTGCTCTCAGCTGCAAGCAGGACCTCTCCTGGGAGGACATCTGGAAATGTGTAAGGGACACTTCTGGTTGTCACAGTGACCAGAAGGGTGCTCTTGGTATTCGGTGGGCAGGAGACCAGAGAACCTAAACACCAACAGAAGCACCCCACCAAAAATGTCCACAGCATCCCCACTGAAAACAACATTGAGGAGCATCTAATCACAAGAGCCCACTAGATCTTTCTGACGCTCCTGAGTTCTTCTGTTAGTGGCCGCAAACACAGACGTCTGTGACAGGGCAGAACTCTCCTCCTCCCCGACCGTGAGCTGTGCAGAGGGTGGAGGCAAGGGCGCCTACTGCACATTTCCCCAGGAATGAGTTAGGCAGAGAGGTGGCAGCGAGTGTTTGTTGAGGGCTGAAAGCTAATTGCACAAATGGGCTTGGAAAACATTAGACAGTTTGTGAAAAAAAGTCGACTCCTAATGCTTTTTCATAAGAGATGAAAAACAGGGCGCCTGGGTGGCTCAGTTGGTTAAGCGACTGCCTTCGGCTCAGGTCATGATCCTGGAGTCCCGGGATCGAGTCCCGCATCGGGCTCCCTGCTCGGCAGAGAGTCTGCTTCTCCCTCTGACCCTCCTCCCTCTCATGCTCTCTGTCTCTCATTCTCTCTCTCTCTCAAATAAATAAATAAAATCTTTAAAAGAAAAAAAAAAAGAAAAACAGAGTCTGTCCAGAGCTCTTCCCAGCTGCAAAAATGATTGACTGGGAACGTAGCCACACACCTTTACTTCCAGAATGAAATAAGTTAATTACACTTTTTAAATTACGTTTTTTAAAGTTATTTTTTAATTTGTTAAAGACAGACCCCCTTTTCCTGACCATTGCGTGCATGCGTGTGCACGTCCTACTCCACGCTGAACCATCTGTGCGAGGAGTGGAGAGTCAGCCTTGGAGCCATCCCGCCCACCCCCTACGGCAAGTCCCCAGCATCGTGGCATCCCTTAAATCATCCATCACCGTTTTAATTAGGTAACTGTTTCACAGTCGTCTCCCCAGCTAGGCAGTAGGCTCCAAGGTAGCAGAGCCCGCCTCTACTTCTTCCGCGGGGGGCACCGGGCACAGCGTCCTGCACATCCCAGGCGCTGACGGGATGCAGGACACTAGAAAGGCAGGCCGAACAGGCAGGGCCTGACCGGCCAAGAGAGGGCCCCTGGACCAGGGGGACCAAGGTCACGGGAGGCCGCCGAAGGGCTTCCAACAAGACGCGCTACCGTGAAGCGCGAAATGTCCACAGACCACTCTGGCTCCGGTCTGGCGACGGGCCCGCAGACAGAAATGACCCAGGGGCCGCCCCGGCCCTTCCGGCGGGAGGCAGACGCGCTGCGAGCAGTGAGGCTGAGAGGGGCAGTGCGAGCTTTTACAGGCAGGAGTCCGCATGTCACGGTCTGCGAAGGGAACTCCGAGGTCCCGTGTGGGGACCCGACCGTGGGCGGGACGACACAGGGGCCAGGGCGGCGCCGGAGCGCGGGCGTCGGAGTCTGACAGCGCGCGGTCCAGGGGCGAGCCACTGGCCGGCCTGCGCCCGCGGGCAGTCGACGCGGGGAAGCGCTGCGCACGCCGGACGAGCGCGCAGGGAAGGAGGACCGCGCCCGGCCTCGCCGCCCCCCAGGCTCAGGCGCCGCGGCCCCCCGCCGGACTCACCGCTGACACCCCGCGTCTGGACCCAACCCGCCGAAGCCCCTCGCGCAGCCCGCGCCGGTAGCGGAAGTGACGCGACGTCACTTCCGGCCCGGCCCGCTCGCAGACGGTGGCCGGCAGGCTGCGGTACCGCTGGCGCGCAGGGTGATGCAGCTGCCGCCCGCGTTGCACTCCCGCCTGGTGGGGGCACCCGGGGCGGCCGAGCCGCTGCCTGTGGAGCGGGACCCCGCGGCTGGGGCCCCGCCCTTCCACTTCGCGGCGCGCCGGGTGCGCTTCCCGCGGGACCACGAGTTTTTCGAGGTGTGTGAGCCAAACGGCGAGAAGGCAGCTGTCGACGCGGCTGCGGCCGACTCCGGGCGGGGGCGGGGCCGGGGCCGGCGGGAGGGGCGGACCTGTGGGGCGGGACCGTTGGGTGGGGGCGGGATCGATGGTCGGGGCCGCCGCTGGAGGGGCGGGGCCTGCGGGGCGGGTGGACCGGTGATGGGGGCGGAGCCTGCGGACGCTGGAGAAACGGGACTACCGCGCCCGGCCCCGCCCACCACGTGCGTGTCCCGCAGGACGGGGATGTGCAGCGACACCTCTACCTCCAGGACGTGCTCACGCAGGTGACAGGGGCGCCTGAGAGGCCCAGGTGAGTGGCTCTGGGCCCAGCACCGCCCCCTCCCCGGGCCCCGCCCGCCCCTAGCGGGTGACCTGCTGCCTCGCTCTCTGCCCAACCACCGTCCACGCCCCTCCTGTCTGGCCTGGCCGCCTCCTAGCTGGCCTGTGAGAATGTGATTTGGGATTGGGAAGGAAACATCAATGCTTTATCAGGCTACTTGGAGGGCAGGTGTGGACCGGCAGCCTGAGGCCCTCTGTTAGCAGCAGAATGGCCTTCCCACGAGGTGGTTTCCTTCGCCAGGGTGCCCGAGTTCACCTGTCAGGTAGCAGGGTGCTGCCAGGTGTTCGACTCCCTGGAGGACTATGAGCACCACTACCACACTCTGCACAGAAACGTCTGCTCCTTCTGCAGACGGGCCTTCCCCTCCGTCCACCTGCTGGACATCCACATACTGGAGTGGCATGACTCGCTGTTCCAGATCCTGTCCGAAAGGCAGGACATGGTGGGTGATGCGTCGCGTCCACTGGGCCCAAGTGCAGTCATCTGGGGCTGGGGGGAGGGGGCGGGGGGCTTGTTCCTGAGCTGTCTGCCTAGTGGGTACCAGCGCGGTGGGGGTCAGGGGCCAGGTGAGGGGGCACCATGGAGGTGGGGGTCAGGACAGAGGTGACATCATTTACGTTTCAGTATCAGTGCCTGGTGGAAGGCTGTACAGAGAAGTTCAAGACCAGCAAAGACAGGAAGGATCACCTGGTGAGACGTCACCTCTACCCAGCCGACTTCCGATTTGATAAACCGAAGAAAAGCAGAGGGTATGCGAGGCGGGACACAAAGCAAAAGCTGCAGGCCATTGAATTTAGAAGAGCATTTTGGGTGTAGAGATTCTAAGGATGGCGCTGTAGTGAAGCATCTGCGTTACTTATGTCACGTTTAGCTGCAGATACGGAATCACTGACCGATCAGCAGTTGTTCGTCAGGATGGTTTTGATGATCAGCAGTAGGGGATGGTTTTGCTGCTCTGTTGGGAATGAGTGGGGTCTCAGCACTGTCTGCCCCGGGGCGTCTAGGAGCATCACCCCTTTCTCTGCACTCACACTAGAGCTGTACCTGCACCTCGCCCCCCCTCCCAGGTGCCAGCCCCACGTGGTGCTGACAGCCCCTGGGAATTTGTCCCAGGCTGTGAGGCCCTCCCCTCACACTGACCCTGTCATTTTTTTTGTCTGGTTGGTGACTTGACAATAAAGCTCTTTGCCACTGTCACTGTTAAGAGTGCACCTGGGAAATGCTTCAGGGGTAATTCTTGAATTTGTGTTGTATTTCTTTGCCTCTTTCAAGTGATTCTTTGAGTGGTCCTTCAGAACCTCCTGAGAATTGTGTTGATTGAAGTTTTTTCAGACCAGTTTCTCTCAGCGGGACTTTGCTCTTTAAAGTAATGTAATTCTGAAAGCACATTGCAGCATGGGACAGTGGGAGGCTTTGGATGTGAGGTAGCTCTCTCCTTATGGAGGGATCATTTCAAGGAGAAAAGCCCTGCAATGCTGGGTCCAGTAGCGGTTAGGGAGGAGACTCTCAGTACTCTGTAGTTAACGTTAGTACATTTCTCACGTATGGTCATGAAAAGACTTTCAGCTCCCTTGGTAGGCATTTACCACGTGGCACCCCAGAAATACTATTTTCAAAAGATAAAGTGTAATTGTTACTAAGCTTATAAACGTGACACCTGTTATATTAATGTTCACTTGGGATTTTGTCGTAATGCTTGTCTTTGTCTTGGTACTCTAAGAATTACAGTATGCCAGGATAGCTATAAAATATTTTTGCAAGAAACAGTAGTGTTTTTGTGGTGAGTTGGTCCATGAGGGAAGACAGGGTCACGGGCCACCGCTCACCCCTCTGTCTCCACAGCCCAGCCACGCCAGTGGCCACTGTACGAGTGTCGGCAGAAGCTCTGGGGGCTGATGGGGAGCAGTCGGGAGGGGACGGCATGGAAGTCTGCTCTGAACACGCAGCCCCCCTCCCAGAACCCGTGGGCGAGCGGTGGATATACAGCCACAGGTTAGTACCTGCCGTCTGTCTGCAGCAAGTTCTGAATGTGTGTTTTATGAGGATGACGCTGGGCTTGACCCTGGGCAGTATTCTCACAGAGAGAAGCAGATGCTGGGTCGGAGTGTTGGCTTCCGCAGCGGTTGAGAGCCTGACTATTTCTGTTTCTCTTGAATGTCTCAGTTTCTTGTGCGTGCCCTGCTTTGGGACCCCGGAAGGCAAGGCACCCCCTCCTCTTTGCATCGTGGCCTAAACTGGGATAGAAGGACCACTGGCTGTAGTTGCTGAAGTTATGATCTACAAGTCTTTCTCATACTGATTATTCTCTTATTGGGTTAAACTTGATTTTAAGTCTAATTTTGGGGAAAATGTTGGACAGAAGAAAAGAGATTGCCAACAAATGCAAACAGACAGGAAGATGGGCTTGTATCCCTCCTGCTGCCCTCGCGCTCCCGCCCAGACTTTGGCCTGCAAGTGGGTCCTGGATGCCCGTGGCTTCTTCCAGATGCTGGGTCACAGGAAGCCTGGGCCTAGAAGCTTGGCATCAACGGCCCTCCTGGCCGAGTGTCCCAGGCAAGCGCACTGCCGGCTGGGAGAGTGTCCCTCAGGAAGCAGGTCCAAGGCAGCTGGCTAGCCGCAGGAAGGGAGCTGCCCTGGGGCCTGGGGTACAGGGCATCCAGGGAAAGGAGCGCCCATGGGCTGAATGTCCCACAAAGTGAAAGAGAAGGAGCCCCCCCAGAACAAGAAGAGCATACTCATGATGCTGCTTTTACGAGTTGGGTTTTTTATTGGCAAAAACCATAATGGTTTAGTATAAAGACTTTTTTCCTTTTCAGAATACCTTCTACCATCTGTTTCGGTCAGGGTGCATCACGAGGATTTAAAAGCACCAAGAAAAGAAAGGAACACCAGTGACAATGTGGACAGAGAGCCATGGGCCTCCGAGCAGACCCCAAGGGGGGCAGTTGCCTTTCGCAGGACACGGGGTCAGTAGTGCGATTTTTCTCGCCTTCTGGTGTGGCTGCCCTAGGACCCAGGCCTTTGCCACCCTTGATCCTCGATGCCAGTCCCTCGGTGGACCACTATGTGACCACAGAAGCAGTGACAGACCCACCAGTTCCAGAAGTGGTCCCAACACATGCTCGGGAATGAAACGGGGGCCGTCCTGAGGATGTGCTTTGTAAACACGTAAATACTTGCTTTTAACAGTCTCCAGTTAGTCTCCAGTTGTCACTTGTATGTTGTTGAACTGGGTACAGAAGTGAGCAGCAGCTACCCACGGCTAATCTGTTCTCAGTGCTGGGTTATCAGGAAGATTTACGAAGCCTCAAACCCCCAGGGGGTGAAGGGCAGGGTGCAGCACTGAGTCGCTCATGTTCATGGCTTGACGAGAGGCTCCTGGGTCACCCCTTCACCACACCAGCGATCAGACCTGATGGGGTTTAGTGAGAACCAGGGAAGGCTCATGCGTGCCTCGGGGAGCAGTGCGGCCAGGGTGGCTTCTCCAAGGAAAGACCGTGATGGGGCAGTGAGGGAGTGTCGCAGCGAGGGAGGGGGCTCTGGTCAGAGCTCCAGGGCCTGGCTGGCACATGCTCGGCAGGAACAGAGCGGACTTGTTGTACCGTCGTGTGGATGAGCGTAATGCAGCTCCCGGGGAAGCAGTGCTGGGAGCAGCACCTGAACGGACACAGCGGGGTCAGCTCGGTGTTGATACAGTCGGGACTCTCAGGGCTACACCTGGCGGAGTGGGGACCCGACAGCAGGGTCTCTCTCTGGAGGCCCCATCTCCATCGGGCATGCGCCTGGGATGCTTCTGTGCTGACTGCTGGCTTGAGGGCTCCAGCTCAGCCAGCAGCAGGAGGATGGGCCTGCCCCTCCCCACCTCACCTCCAGCCTGTCCTTTCCAGGCTCTGGGCTTGGCTGGAGGCAGCTGGTGGTCATCTGTGGCTCCTGGCATGGAGGCTGGTGCCCCAGCTCCTGGCATGGGGCCACACCTGTGGCTCTCCGGAATCTGGAGCAAAGGGACTGTCGGGGGGTCATGTCACAGCCGTAGTTTCACGCAGGAAAAGCTCTAAAGGTGGGTTACCAAGTGCTTACAGAAAAAAAACAAAACCTAAAGTGCAGGTCTTAGGACATCAACAGGAGACCTAGCGTGCACTTCATGGAGGGTGGCGGGGCAGAGACCAGCCTTGGCTGGGGCGGATGTGTCAGGGCTGACCCAGAGTCCCTTCTTTGGCTCTTAAAAGCACAACATAGAGACAATGCTAACTTGCGAAACTCCCATTCTGTCTCTGTCCACCTCCCCTCAGAGACCTTTCCTTCTCCAGCTCCTGCACGGCCCCCCTGCCCAGCCCCCCTGCATGGCCCCCTGCACTGCCCCCGCCATCTGCAGGAGCACACTGGCCTTTCTCACTGCAGCACGTTGTGCTAAAC